AGGACAGTCCTTTATTTCAAAGAATTGTGATTTTGAAAGATTTCGGTTGTGCTTCTACTTGAATTATATTAATGAAACCCAAGAACATCAATTTAGTCCGAAATAAAGAATGAAATATGGAGAAACGTTAAATCACGCACCCCACATTTTACTCGAGATATATTTGGCCATTGTGTATCAAGGATGTGTACTTTTAATTTCAATGGTTCGTTCAAACCATTAATTTTGTGCTCTTCGCCAATCTAGAGACATATCTCTCTGAAGTTTATGAAGACAGTGAATGTCGGCGACATTAGGTCCCCGTTCACCCCCTTTTTTGCCCCTTCATTCCACGCTAGCTCAACAATGGTATAGATCAATTCTACAGGTCAACGCCCGGCGCCAGACCAAATAGACCTGACACACAGGCGAGCTAGATTATCAGTAACCAGAGAACGAAGAGCCCCCATTGAGCTCGTATTCGTCTAAGAGAAATTTCATGTACTTGAAACGGACCTTAAAATCTTGATGTGTTTCCCTACTCCACGCATGATGGCGTGCAAAACTAGTTGCTATTTCATTAAGTAATATTAAGCATTTTTAATGCCATCCAACGCATCTTAAGTGATGCAAAGAGATGTGGTTTAGCCCGAGTTAAAAGATATATGAAACCCTTTGACATATTTATCTTTCTCATTAGAAATAATGTGAAGATAACGCCAGAAAATAGTTATATGTTCTTCTGAAGAAGAACATCCTCTTCAACACGAAACGTTAAAAGCATGTGGCCTATAGATTGGATTACAACTGGCAGCAGTACAAGAAAGTGAACAGCGGAAAATAATTAATAGTTTTGTTTGTTGTTAAGCCTAAAGCAAAACAATGTGCTCTCTGTGTTGTGCCCTGCATGGGTATCGAAACCTAGTTTATAGCGTTATAAGCCTTTAGACTTCCCGCTGAACCACTGGTGTGCAAGAATCAACAAGCACTAATGTAAAGAACTTCGTTCTATTTGGGTTTGTTTATTTGTTTGATTGGTTGGTTTTAAATTTCCCGCAAAAAAGACTATCTGCGACAGCCGTCCCTAATTTAGCAATGAGAGACTAGAGGGAAGGCAACTAATCAACACCACTCTCCGCCAGCTCTTTTTACCTTTTTTACCCACGAATAGTGGGATTGACCGTAAAATTATAACGATCCCACGGCCGAAAGATCAAGCATGTTCGGTGTGACAGTGTATTTAATAAATAATACTTAAATAAATGGCATTTATAAATACATATTTAATTAATCATTTATTCTTCATTCAACCGGAATAGTGGATTCAACCGGATTTTAAAATAAACTGTGAGTGTAGCATTTGTATAGTTTAAAGTTAAGGCTTCTATCAATAATACACCCAGAAAGGTCATCGTTTGTTTTTTTTTGTTCCTTAATTACCTTTTCTTTTGTAAGTTTCTTTCATCTTCATCACACTTTTTATTGAATAACTTGATTAATCGTGAATATATTTTACAACTAACCCACACTTCCTATTGAAAATCCTCACTTTTTGTAAGTTTTTCTCTCAATTCATCCACTCTTTTGTATTGAATACTATTACTTGTTTTGGATATTTCTCATTATTGCCGTAAATATTTGATACCAAATACAATAAGCTGCCTTAAATGTTTCAGTGAACTTAAACACGTTATTCTGTTTTGCTCTGTCAGATGTGTTGGATATTTCACTCGATTTCCTAACCTTTTTCTATTGAACATTCTCAATAGTTTTGAGTATTTCTGCGAGCTTAGAAGCCAGATTTGGCCTAATGGTTAGCGTGCCAGCCTATGAATCCAAGGGACTACAGTTTGCGTCTCTTTGCCGTAAAATCACGCTCCGCATTTTGGTGGCCGTGGGGTCGTTATCAAATTCGATTATAAATATAAATGTGGCGAAACGTTGTTTTTAAATGATGCACTTTTTTCTATCCAGTTTTAGCTGTTTTTTAATTTAAATTTTGTTGAGTGTGGGATACTTCTAACATTTATATTTATAATCGAATTTGATCGCTACTATTAACTTGGCATCATCAGGTACCTTCCAAGTTAAAAGTGGCGAAACGTTGTTTTTTAAATGATGCACTTTTTTTCTATCCCATTTTAGCTGTTCTTGAATTTTAAATTCTATTATAGTTTTCGGTGAGTGCTCTTGATTAACTGCTTTTCCTCTACTTTATCAGATAAAATTAGGGATAGCTATGAACAGGTAGTCCTTGCAAGAAACAAAACAAAGAAACTTTCTGCCTATCAGTCCACTTCTATGATAAATACTGGGTGTTTTCTAATGAATACCGTCCATCAACTGCGCTGTATAGTTTTTATAAATTCAACCACATTTTGATATTAAAGTTATCTCGTTTTTTGTTTATCTTTCCATTCAACCGGTTGACGATTTTCTTATCTTAATCACGCTATGGTTTAATATTTAATAAAACGGAATATATATAATAATGGTGTTATAAGTTCCTAACCGATTATAAACAGCAAAAAAATACACGCGTGTGTTAATACTGTTACATATTGATATTCAACACAGAAAAGCATACACGTAAAATATAAATTTATTCTACTTCGTCAATTTTTTTTTCCATATTGGTACTAACACAGTTTCGTTTCGTTGTAAACAAACGGTTACACATGCAGTTTTTACTCTTTAAAACAAAAATCGTAATTTTCTTGGACTCTCAACCATATCATATGGTTTAAACTATAATTTTCCTCTAGTTAAGAGAAGAGAGAATTTTTTTTAATTCTCTTTCTGCCAAGAGAAAACCCTCAAAGTATTTAAGTTGAAGAAAAGGTGCTTATGAGAAAAATCCAGATGTCAGATTTCAAAAGAGAAGTCGTGACATGGCTTCTGGAATGACAAAACTTGAACCACTGGTTCTGCTGACAAGGTTTTCCATGTAGCAGTATAAAATGTGGTAGTTAAACTTTAAAGTTTCACTTACTGTAGCTACTGCTATAAATCTACTGAAATTATAATGACAACTCGATAATATACATGTGATGTTATCTCTGTGTTCTTCTACTTGGTATTTCAAATTTACAGACACAGGGGTGTCGTATTCCTTTTTTTAGCCCTAATGTGAGCCATATTAGTATGATTATATTCTACGTTTTCAAAACATCTCAATGAACAACTATAGAACGATATAATAGTTCATAATGTTTTTCACCATTTATTGGCATATTGCTTTCAGCGATATGATGGGGAAAAAACTGTCATATCCTCTCATGGTTTTAGAACAGTAAATTTAACGAACCACCTGGGATGATGAAACGTAACACATTGCTTGGGAAGACACTTCATTCCAGGCAACATTTCGCTTTTGTTTTTGAAGACAGTGATTAGTTAAATCAGTCTGTACTTATCAGATTTCCCAATGAGTAACTAGAAATGAACTACAGAATCCCGTGTGCGAACACACACACACACACAGACTATTTTAAATGATATCCGAGTTTCTCCCGAAACTGAATTTAAGAGCAGACGCCACGTGCACATTCTTCACTGCTGTTGTAGCCTATGCATGTTAGTAGTTTTTCTTCAAAACGCAAAATAAAAACAAATTTGCTTCGAAAAGGCTTTACCCTAAAAATATCATTCTAAATTATGAGGTAGTAAACAATGTGATGAGTGTATGTACATCGTTTTCTTTAAATTATATTTCAGAGACCTTGCAAAGTCCGCGACGGGGAAAAAAAAACATTCAGAGAACTTGTTCTCAACGTGACGTGTACTAACAACTTCTAAACAGAGAATCTGTAATAAAATCTATTGACAGTTTGATTAAGAATTTCAACAACAAAAAAAAAACATGTATGGTGGTTCGAAACATAATACAGTTTTTGTTTATAAAATCGTGCTGGTTATGGCCTATGTGTTAGTGTGCCCGGATTGTGAATCCGAAAGTTCTGATTCTCGTCCCGTTGCCACAAAAACGTGCTCCGCACTTTGGAATCCTGGGTGCGCTATAAGAGTAACAGTCAAATTCCACAATTCAATCAGACAGGGGCAGCTTATGAGTTGGCGTTGGTTGATGTTGGCTAGCCGCACTCTCTCAAGTCTACTGTTTCAAATTTGGGATGGTTATGTGAAGATAGCCCTTGTCATTCTTTGCGCGAAAGTTCTAAAACAAACAAACAGATTCTAAAAGCAAAGTAAAACGGCCTGTAAATTTGCATGTCACTAACACACTAATACAATGTACTACTTCACTTTACTGCGAAAGGAAAATCTTAAGACTTCGCTTATACTTTGTTGGACGGTATTGCCACGTGGATAGGGTGCTTGACTCGCACTCTGCGGGTCGCGGGTTCGAATCCTCGTCACATCAAACATGCTCTCCCTTTCAGCCATGGGGGTGTTATAACGTGACGGTCAATCCCACTATTCGTTGGTAAAAGAGTAGCCTAAGAGTTGGCGGTGGGTGGTGATGACTAGCTGCCTTCCCTCTAGTCTTACACTGCTAAATTAGGGACAGCTAGCACAGATAGCTAGCCCTCATGTAGCTTTGAGCGAAATCCATAACAAACAAACAATAAAGAAGTTCTTTGTGGCTTATGCTTGACTGGTCAAAAACTTTACCTTCAAAACATACAAAGGCGTTAAAAAATCACCGATTGGTTGAGATTTTGAACAAAAAATTAACAAATACAGAATGGATGGATATTATTGGTTTTTCTCTTTTTCCAGTGCGATTTCACATACGTGCTCGTGATAGGAAATAATGTCACGGAAGATCAGTGTCACAACGCATCCAGAACTAAGCAATCTAGGTTTCTTCTTTCTTTTTTTTTTTTTGGAATAACAATCGATTTTATTTTCACAGCGCTTTTTTTTAACTTAACAGTATTTGTGTGTTCAATAACACTTCATCTAAAATAAGGACTAGTCTTGAAGCTATAACAAACACAACGACTGACCTTTTTTTCCCCCCTTGAAACACAAAGTAACATCTTAACTCTACATCTTACCGTCTTTTTTGTAGTATACTATCTCAACCTGACGTTCTTCAAGAGAAGCCAGAGCTTCTTCAATGGTAGCAACCGCATGTGGGCTGGTGAGAGGTCCGTGCAGAAACTCACATATGCACGAGCGCTGCATGATCTCTGCCCTCGTGTAACCCATGAGTTCGGTGAAACCATCATTGCAGTAGATGATTGGGTGGTGAATGTCTTCAACTTGGGCATTGCTTACGATGAATCTCCTATCTACAATACAAAAAAAAATGAAAGTTGCAGAACGACTTAAGGATACAGCTTTCGTAATTTAATGATTGCTGAGGGTAAGAGTTAATCACGCTTCATTAAAGCAATGTTCCAAGTTCTTGCTGCCCTTTGAACAGATTTCTTCATCATTGATCGCACTCAGTCTAATAACCTTGATTACTTGCTATTGCCTAGCATACAGTTTCTATTATTACGAGTATCTGCCAAGTCAATGTTAGATTACACAACTGGACAAACCTCACTGAGCTCCTCCATAATATGTAGATATGGGCTTCCAATATTGTTAACGAAAAAACCACAGTAAATTGATTAAACTGTCAAAAGAAACTTGTTTCGACACGTTCTTGCGTCCTCTTCAGTCTCACTTTGTCTTCTGGTGGTCAATAACGCCTACGTTTTCCCACCAGAAGGCAACGTGGGACTGAAGATGACTCAAGAATGTGTCGAAATTAGTTTGCCTAATATGAAGACTTCTAACAGTTTGTTACATTTAGTGTGATATTCCACAAACTACTACAGAACAATATAGTGTTCTTTTATTGCCAAGACTATGTTTAAACAGAAAAGGGGCACAAAAGTCCATTGGATCTGCATTAGGAAACTTGCAAGGTATGTGGTGGATTAGGATTTTAGTTTATTCAACCACCTTCGTTACGAAAGCAGCTGTTGATGCCAAGATGTGGTTAGAAGCTTTTGAACGTTTTGGGCATGCGAGTTTTTCATCAACTTCAAATTGCTTTTGTATCTTGTAATGGTACACGAAGATATGTCCAACTTTACTACATTAGCTTTTTAAAGGGGATTGGAAGATTCTCTTTGGTCATAATCCTCACTCTACAAATTAGGGCGTTGCTCTGGATTGATTGGGGTGTGGTTTTGGAGACCATAGCTGGCATAAACGCTTTGTTGTGTACGTTTTTTTTTTTACTTTGGTGGATCACAATGAATATTTTTTCTTCTTAGAAATGCCATGTCCTTTGTCTCTACGTAATTTCACAACCTCGCTACAAGAATATAATTCTTCAGAAATAACTATGACTATTCCTCCAGTCATAAGTCTACTCATGACACCATTGCTTTTCAAATGGGTGGACATTTGCTTTGAACCAGATCTATGGGGGCTAAATATACTACCAGTAGAGTCACAGCTCAAATCTGCAGCAACACATTGGTATATTAGCATATTCAAATCGTTTTTATAAAGTATTGTTAACCCTCTGAAACTACCTAACTGTCAAAACCTTTAGCCATGACCTTAATAATAATAATAATAATAATTTAAATTGTATGTTATTTATCATAAACGTTTTTATTTCAATACACGAGTATAGCGATCCACTTACTGCCTGAAATAAGAATGTCTCTTCTACAAATGTGGTATTCTGAGGTATACACTTAGCTAAAGCTAAGCTAATTATGTCCACAATAACAGAAGATTCTGAGAATTTATATGCACAGTGTGCAAAAAAGTATAACTCGGCTAAGAAAAAATGTGACTGGACATAAACTATTCAACCATCACTTTTACAAACAAATATACAGATATGTCCAGTGAAAATCTACAGTAAACATAGAAGATACTCCTCACTTGATGGTCAACATCTCTCTCTGTACAGCTACTGGACAACACAGGACAAGTTTGACTTATACCAAGTGAATTGTGACTTATTCACAGTACAAAAACCCTGGCGAATCTGACCAAGAACTAACTTTACTTATGATTATTTTCAATACTAAGATATATTAGAACTTTATAGATACAACATCACTAGCAAGACCCAGTAATATAAAATGAAAATCAAAGTTTCTGACTCTTCAAACCCGCTCAACGAGTTACCCAGAAAGCAAGGTAGAAGGATATATAATTACTGGGCTTAATTAATTCCACAAATGTGCCAAAAGACAAGATTAACAAGCTCAAGGCTGAATACATCCTGTTCATTGAAAACTAGCACGGAAATCGGTTCTACAATTGAATGAATGCATATTGGTATTCTTAGTTATAGAAGGGTTTTGCTTTTAATAATTAGATAACATACAGTGGAAACGCAGGGATGAATACATTTAATGTAAAACGAAAAACAAATGAAACCTGTATCAGGTACATGTTATTTACATGAAATACGATACAATTAAAATAGCATTGGAATGAAACTTCTCTTTTAAGTAAACTGTGTATACTAAAATTACTGGAACATCTGTTTGTTTGAACTTAAGCACAAAGCTACACAAAAGGCTATCTGTGCTCTGCCCACCACGGGTATCGAAACCCGATTTATAGCGTTATAAGCTATAGAATTATTGCTGAGACACTAGGGGGCGTTATGGCTGTGTATGTATGTTTGTTGTTAAGCACAAAGCTACACAATGGGCTATCTGTGCTCTGCCCACCGCGGGTATCGAAACCCGATTTCTAGCGTTATAGGCTTTAGACTTATCGCTGATCCAGTAAGGGGCGTTATGGTTGTGTACGTATGTTTGTTGTTAAGCGCAAAACTACGTAAAGGGCTATATGACATAGATGAATTTGTTTAAGGTGTGATTATTACATTAAATGACATAGAAGAGTTTGCTTAAGGTGTGGTTATTACATTAAATGACATAGAAGAGTTTGCTTAAGGTGTGGTTATTACATTAAATGACATAGAAGAGTTTGCTTAAGGTGTGATTATTACATTAAATGACATACAAAAGTTTAAATTTTAAAAAAAACTTTTTCGACTGCAAAATATTTAAATCTTGATTTTCACGTAATTATTGTTGAAAGCCAATTTTTAGAGTACCGATTATGACGTGTAATTATGCTAAAAAATTACATTTTTATATTTAAAAAACATCCATATCCAATAAGCATGTGTGAACATATATTTGATTTTATTTGAATTATGAATAAGTTTGCTGTGTAATATTCTAAAATGTTGTTTGCAGTTTCAATGTTGATTGGAATTCTGGGGATCCTGCGAAAAAGTGCGAAAAAAAAAGATGGATGGCTTGAGGGTCGCGGGTTCGAATCCCCATCACCGAACATGCTCGACCTTTCAGCCGTGGGGTGTTATACTGTGACGATCCCACTATTCGTTGGTAAAAGAATAGCCCAAGAGTTGGCGGTGGGTGGTGTTGACTAGCTGCCTTCTCTATCACTGTTAAGTTACGAACGCCTAACGCAGATAGCCCTCGTGTAGCTTTGCACGGAATTAAAAAAATAAAAACACAATAAACAATTTTATGTATAGGTGTTAGGCCTACTAAAAGCACCTGTTATTAGTACATGTTAATTCTTGTTTGTATGTGTTGTTATCATTTAACGATTGCGAGTTGAGCCGGGCCTATTTTTTGTATATTTCTCTTTACTTTCTTTATTTTCATACACAATAGACAAACGTTTTCCCAAGTGATATTGATCCGACAAAAAATATAGAACTGTTGTATTCCAAGCCACGGTCTAAATCTATTGACTATCGAATTCGCCCCCCAGTGGCACAGTGGTATGTCGGCGGACTTATACTGCTAGAAATCGGATTTCGATACCCGTGGTTGGCGGAGCACAGATAGCCCTTTGTGTAGCTTTGTGCTAAATAACAAATAACAACAACGACTATCGAATTCATATTGGAAAAGGTTGTTTACACAACTTCCTTGTAAACAACATTTTCAATATTTGCACCTTGAGGGACGTAAATGTTTCACCGATCGAAGGACCGTACACTGGATAGAGCTGCGTAAAAATTGTTTCAGCAAAGTGCAATAT